GTATTCAATATTGGTGTCTCGCCAAAAAGTATTCTAAACCTACTCAGGCAGTATTTCCGTGTAGACAGTAAGTACATTAACAGTATTCAATATTAGTGCCCCACCAAAAATGATCCAAAACCTACTCAGACAGTATTTCCGTGTAGACAGTATGTACATTAACGGTATTCGATATTGGCGCCGTACCAAAACCAAAACCACTAAAACCCTAAAGTTTCTCAGACAGTAGATTTCGTGCCTGGTGCTATGATGTTCCTAAAAATTGTGTCCGAACAGCCTAGAGTTAGTAGAATCATATAACTGACGGTTGTGAAAGTTAAAAAACATTACAAACGACTACCAGTTACCAGAATCGTAAACGAGAAACTGGCAGAAACGAAAATTGCAATTACACGTAAAAATTGTAAAAAGTTATGACTCGTTCCAGTTCGTAGAATTCGTTCCAGCGTGGCAACGGAACTATAATCTGTTGGAGGGTCGGTTGAATAATTGATAGCAGTATGTATCCGACAACTGCAGGTTGAAAGGTGTATTTTTTAAAAAGCTATGCGTGCTAGGGGGCTGTACAGGCGAAATTGGGGATGACACTGATCCATCGGCAGTCCATAGCCCCTATTTAATAGACAGTTGTCCGGAACGCGTGAAAAACATTGGGTGCATATCGAAACGGTCATTACACGTCGTTGGATAAATCGTTTCGGGGGACCTCGAATGACGGTCTCGATGATGGGCACATTTTTCAACGAAATAGGATCTCTTAGGAGAGATTTTCGGAGTCGCCAAATTTTCGCATATAAATCCAACGTGTCAGTGCATTTACATGACAAATTGCGGTAGCCAAGGACGACGGTCGATCGGAACTGGGTGTTCGTGGTAAATTCCTGCGCGGAGGGAAAATATAGCCAGGGAAAATGCAAAACAAAAGTGTACAGGGTGAAACGTACGTGCGAACGAATTCCAGATAGAAGTTACCTATAACATATATATACTGTCACGTCGTCCACATACGACCCATTCGTTGCACAAATCGATTAGCTACATGAAACAAAAAGTTGAGAATAGAAATAAATTTCTTTGGAATAAATCAGGCCTCTGAAATAAATTATTCATCATTCAATGGCCAAACAAAATTTTGTCCCTTAATGGTGTTAATGTTTATTGTTCGAAAAAGTTGTGACTATACCAAGTGCTTTGACAATTAAATTTAAGAGTTTTTGAAAAGTGCAGTGGACTACAGGGCTGACTATAAACGACGTACACTACTTGAATTCTTTCTCTCGAAACTATCGCATTTAAACCATTGGTTAGGATTATTATTACTCGATTAGATAAGTTATGGAGATTAAGATTTGTAAGTACTTGTGTCATAAATGAGTAAGTGTGTTATACAGGGTGGAACATTTAAACCAGGCTACCTGTGTCATTTCTTTTCAATTGTCCCAGAAGAACTACAGGGCTGACTATAAACGACGTATACTATTTGAATTCTTTCTCTCGAAACTATCGCATTTAAACCATTAATAAGAATTAGTATTACTCGACTAGGTGAATTATAGAGATCGAATCACGTCATCCACATATGTAATTCATTTGGAGGATTAAGTAAATTAATTCTGAGAGCGAGATGTTAAATGTAAATTTGGATACAAGTCACAGAATCCACCGTGTCTTTTAAAAGGAAAAAAAAACAGATAAACTCTAACATTTAACAAGAATAGAAGACGAAAAACATGTCTTGGGTACAAAGGAGAACGTTTTATACCAAGAATTATCACTCCCACAAATGAGAAACTATAATATATCTTCTAGTATAATATAATTCACATCTTAGAAGTCGCTGAATTCCTCACGAACGTTTAATTTAGCCTTTAATTAGTCATACGGGGAACTAGATATTCCCGCTGCGCGTTTCGGGAATGACAAAAGTCTTACAATTTTAAGATCTTCATCCTGACTTCTCCAGTCGCATTATCAGAGTAGAGGAAAGTCATTTCGTCTGACGGTTTGTCAGATAAACCCCGAAGCCTGGAAACTTCATCGTTTTGTTTCCACCCCTGGATTCGCAAGAAACTAACACTAGCGGAGCGGAGGTATTCAATCATGGAGAGGAAACTTCTTTAGGAAGCGATAATGTACATTCTAATCAGAAGCAAAAAATGTGACAAGCGGGCAAGAAAATGACAGAGGTGAATTATGACATTGTGTGTTACAGTACATGAATATTTTAGCGCTCGACGCAGGACGACAATTTCGTTATCGCTGTGGCGGCGATGGGAGAAAAAAAATTTCGAAAGATTAGCAAAAGATAAGCAACTTTTAATCCATTATTCGCGAAACGAAAATTAGAGTTGGAATTATACAACGAATTTATGTTTCACGTGGAAAGTAATAAAAGCTTATCTGGGTAATTCCGATGGAATATAACTTGCAAATAAATTGCTGCACAGAGTTTTTAATAAGATTCTGCCCATCCCTGCGCTGGCGGATGTACGATCACATATTTAGAATTCCGAAACGAAATATTACCTCCGTCTGTATTTTCGTATTTGTGAATATGCATTAGGTTCTTTCAGTTTTCTACAAATGGCGGTAACGTACATTTCAACGTATACTTCGAGACTTTTCTGTGAAACAGAATGTCACCGGTTACTCTAAATGAAATAAATGCTTGCAAAAATAAAATATATTTGTAAAAATAATCGAATGCTCGAGCTTTGTAAACGAAACTATCGTAGATGCTGACAATAAAAATAATACAAAAAGGTCTCGAAAATATAATACGAAACCACTTGAACGACTCTTAGGAATAACTTGATGTAACAATAAAAAAAAAAAACAGGATAGTTGAGAAAACTTTTTCATGTACTACTGCACTCCGAAATGAAAAGGATTCTAGAATCTATAAAGTTTCCAACCTCCATGCATACAAATCTGGGATTAAAGAAACAATAAAGGAGAATACTAGTTAGGATTCAGGAATGTAAACGTGGGGAACGGCGTTCGCCGAGAGGCTCTCAGAGATCATTGAATCCTCCGCCACCCTCAAACTATATAGTTTCCTCTAGCCCCCATTGGTTTCCACCGTTGCTCCTACGTAATGTTACTACTCTGCTATTTTCTTTAACTACCTCCAACAACGAACTATCGTAAAGGTTCGTACACCTCTAGAAATTTCCCGGTGGTCGTTGGAGATTTCTCACAATTGAGTGCCATTCGTGTAAAATATACCTTCTGGAATTCCTATAAAGTTTTATACGCGAGGATCGATTTCCAGATTTATTTTGAAAAGGTTATTTCTGGACGTTAGACCGGCTCGCCGGTGAAGTACTCATTTCACATCAGCGCCAATAAAAAATTCTTGCAATTTTCGCAAAATCAGAGCCTCGTCCAATTTTTCATTTGTTGAACACGATGCTAGTATTCATTCAAAGTGAAACGTAGTTTGATTGCAATTTAGTCGAACGAGTGAGGGATAACAAATTGTTCGCATTTTATTTAGTGCTCGAAATTGTTTGTCTAGATGAGAATTTTACTCGTATTCCGATGAGGACCAAGAGAAGCTTATTATTGATTTGCCGGAACAGAAACTTTTTATTAAAACATTTTAGCAAATGGCATAGAATTTTTCATAAGTCACTTGGATTCTTCGTTTTTCAGGGGTATTGCAAATCACAACTCATAACGTCGAGTGGAACTTTATTAATACGAAATGTAGGTTAAAACCAGATGAACGTGTCTGTATTCGCTGCAAGAGCTGAACAATTTATATGACAGTATTTCGAAATCCCTTAGGTACGCGTATTTCAACAGATATTAAAGATTTAGTGCATACGAATAATCCTATAGCAAGATGTATCAGTCAATAATCATTGCCAACGAGGCGTATGTAATACTTGTTCTTATTTACTACCTTAACTCGTCATTTTTATTATTTTCTTCTTCTAAAATAATGCTTCACTTTGTAAACAGAATCTAAAAAAAAGCCCAAGGTTTAATGAAAACCAAAACTAGAAGTTTGGTTAAGTTGGTCAATAAATGGGTGTAAACTTTTTAGAAATAATATTGAAATACCAAATGATATAGTAAAACAGAGTATTATTGGGTTGTCTGGAAAGTCCATGCCGATTTTTTTGGTAGATGGTGCAGGTCTGAATATATCGGTATAGTTGAAAACAAATAACATGTACACAAAATGGCACCTATGCAATTCAATAAATATGTATTAAAATTCAAATGTACCTTTGCATTTTTCTGATTTTCAAAATTTTGAAGAAAATGAATAAATTCGACAGTACAGTGTAATAATATGGAAAATTAAAATTTTAACGAACCCTGGAATATCTTCGATTATAAAATGAGTAGTTTTAAGTTTAAAATAAAATAAATGAGAAAAGAAATAAGAGGTTAACATTAAAAATAACAAACGTTAGTTTACGCAAATTCTGTTCTAAAAGTACGTAGGACGTTGGTTAATTATTTCTTCCCCTACAATTTATTAATAAAATAAATATATCAAGTTTTATTTTGAATTGGTTCCTATATGAATACCTGTTACACTGACTGTATGTGTAAATTAAATAGATGAAATTAACTCGAACTTTCTGGACAACCTAATATGATATTCTAGAATTAGAATAAAGAATTAAATATTAAATATTGATATTAAATATTAAGCTTTGTTAACATTAATTATACTATATATAATTTTATACTGGTCTCTTATTCATTCCAAAGACGATTCGAAATACTCAAAACCAAATAAATGACGTAAATAATTCAAGCCCCTACATTAAACATTACTCTCCAAAACATCAGAAAACATCCGTATAAATCCGTATGAATCTTCGTCCAGCGACGCGAGAAATGCCGAATCGCGTAATCAGTAGAAAAAATTGCGCCGTGTCCAAAATAAAAATAATGAAAAATACCAGAATTTTCGAGTGATCACAAGCGGCCCGCGGAACAAGCTTACGCGCAAGTCCCTCTGATCTTTTGTCGCCGATTCGTTTTACCGCCACCCCTTTTTGCGACAGACTATATTTCATAGTTTTTCAGCTCGCTACACACATGTACGCGGCTCTCGAAGCCTTCTATCAAAACTTTTACGGTTACATCCCATTCAACCGACCGCGAATAACTCCGCCGATCTGGCATTGCACCGCACATAAACACGCCAGTTTCCAATCTTCCTGTCGTTTTCGATTCCCGACGCCATTAAAGTTCACCGTTCGTTACGTCCACGCTTCCGGTGATGATTGCTTTCAGGAAGGATTCGTGCTACTCGCAAAGCGAATCGAAGTGAAAGGAAGGATAGCGTTAAGAATCGCGTTGAAATCACGTCGTTGGGTTCACGTTACATTTCAGACCAACTACGTCATTTCGGCGATCGTCGCCGACGCCGTTTCCAATTTATCATTAGGTACACGTTCGTCAAACAGAAAAATGCTGAACTTTGGGAATTTTTCCTGATCATGCGGGATGTTTAGATAGACAATTCTTTAAGACAGAATTCAAAGAGACTTGAAAATAATTCGTGGACCAATATTGCCGCTCCTGCCAAAAACTACCCCAAACATACTCAGACAGTATGTACATTAATGTTATTTAATATTGCCGTCCCCACGAAAAACTACCCTAAACCTACTCAGACAGTATCTACATTAATGTTATTTAATACGGACGCACTCACGGAAAATTACCCCAAACCTACTCAAACAGTATTTTTGTGTAAACAATAGGTTCATTAATGTTATTTAATACGGACGCACTCACGGAAAATTACCCTAAACCTACTCAGACAGTATCTACATTAATGTTGTACATGCGGGATGTTTAGATAGACGATTCTTTGAGACAGGATTCAAAGAGATCTAAAAATAATTCGTGGACCAATATTGCCGCACACACTAAAAATTACTCACTACTACTCACTAAAAACTACTCAGACAATATTTCCGTGTAAACAATAGGTTCATTAATACTATTCAATATTGCAGCTCCCACCAAAATCTACCCCCAAACCTACTCAGACAGTATGTACGTTAACGGTATTCAATATTGCTACCCCCTCAAAAGACTACACCAAACCTACTCAGACAGTATGTACATTAATGTTATTTAATATTGCCGTCCCTACGAAAAACTTCCCCAAACTTACTCAGACAGTATTTCCGTACAAACAGTATGTACATTACCGTTATTTAATATTATCGTCTCCACCAAAAACTAGCCCAAACTTACTCAGACAGTAGATTTCGGTGCTATGATGTTCCTTCACGTACAAACAAAATTTGGAAGTGACGTGCTCACCGAGATCGGTGCAAAAAAAATACTGTTTGGACCATTTCAATTTTTGACCCCTAGAGGTGGGTGAGAAATTAAATAGTCAATAGAGAAGTTAAAGGTCAACACGACCACCATTGTAATCGTTAGGTCGACGCTTCGAAATTCAATAAAAATCGCTACAAAAAAAATTGCCTCTCAGTCGCCACTGGAGTCGTCGCGTAGAACCTAGTGGATTCACTATAAATGTAACGTAGAAAGCTCAAAAAAACTAATTGTAGAATACTAACGCTTCGAGATTCAATAAAAATCACCACAAATAAAATTGCCTCTGATTCGCCACTGGAGCCGTCCAGTAGAATGTACCGAATTCCCCATATATTTAACATAAATATCTGAAAAACCTAATCGTGGTATACTCCTACCAATGCTTCACCTCCAAAGATTCACCAAAGTTGAGCTTGAACAACTTCTAATGGCAAATATTACTCGTCTATGGATCGCAGAGGATTAATAGCCGGCGTTAATATCCCGCAGGGTGCATCATATACGCCTCGGATCAAGAAGTTGCGGAACTTATGAGAGCAGTGAGACGTTGCAATGCAACCGGTGCGTTCTCCTGGATCGGCAGCGACGGATGGAGTGCCAGAGGGTTAGTCAGCAATGGTAACGAACCGGAAGTCGAGGGTACTTTATCGGTTCAGCCCCAAGCCAATCCTATCAAGGGCTTCAAAGAGTACTTCTTGAATCTGACCGTCGAGAACAACCGAAGGAACCCGTGGTTTGTTGGTAAGCGAATGACAGGAACACGCGAGCTTCATTAAACTTTCGACAGTTCCAACTCGAGAAACCACTGCTACGATCTCGGGGGAGGGGGAGGCAATTAGATTGAATAGCCAATCGATCGAAAAAACTGTGTACAAAATCCTCGATAAAGATGTGGAAAATTTTAAGCATTGAACAGAGTGGATAAATTCGACGGTACGGTGTGATAATATTATGGAAAATTAAAATTTTAATGAAACCTGAAATATCTTCGATTATAAAATGAGTTTGATCCACGTACACTCTCGTTCATAAATACGTGGACACCTTCAATGAATAAATAATTAATATACACTGTAAATTATTACTGTACAACTTTTGTTGGTAAATTCTATATTGGATGTGTATTTAACATTTAGTAATATTAAATATTTTGAGTGCCATATTCAATTTTATAGTGGAACTATGGGATGATCGTTTAGATAGAAAAGTTCAGAAATGTTCGATATATCAAAAACATTTATGGCAAAGTATTAGAAAATTAATGAGATAATATTTCTTCGGATACCATGAAGAAATTAATAGTATCCAAGTTTGGTAAAAGACATTTTAACATTATCTAGTTATCTCTATAGTTTTTTTATCATTACTAAAGTGATATTAAAAAGAAAACTATTAATAAAATGTATTCGCTGATGCAGCATAAACATATGGAAATATAAATGATATAATTGATATTAATAGATTCGCAACTTTTACTAGATATTTATTTCAATTAAGGAAGTGTCCACATAATTCTGAGCGGGGGTGTACGTACAAATTAAATAGATGAATAATTCATGGCAGTAATGTATTTATTTTAATTGGATCACATAATCCTATTTATGCCAAACCAATTATTATAAAATTACATTCAATCGTTATTTAATAATCAGAATATTTTTGGATTCATTACAATTTTAACAATTCAGTATATTATTATATTACTATGAATATAATAATTGAAGATAAAATAAAATGAAATGAATACGATCAATTAACATTATTAACAGAGAATCCACGTAAAATTAATTCCACTGTGTCCAATACTAAATAAATAAATACTACCACCTCAAATAAATATTAAATGGTTTCAGAATTTTGGGAGGATCACTTCCAGTGTCGATATCCAAACGCATCTCTAACTCCGTACAACAAACGATACACGAAACCATGTACAACGAAAGAGCGCTTGACTGCACAGAACACTGCAGTCGAAGACCAACTGCAGTTCGTCTCCGACGCAGTTATGGCGTTTGCCTATGCTTTTCGGTAACAAACCAGAATTTAATAAATAATATGCACTGCAATGAAAACCAAAACTAATCGAAGCGTTCATTAAACTTTGCTCATTCGTCAGAATTTACATCGTCGATAAATATTTTTCCCCATTAAAATTAAAAATATTAATATTGCTGTGTATCATCTGGCCCTCGGAATAACGAACAATGTTATAATTGAACCTGTCAAACATTAAAGAGAGAAAAGAAAGTTCTGCGTTACTTATCGAGATTTATATTCGACCCTGTCACTGCCAACTCCAGAAAACAATTTCCATTTTTGCTGTTCTATTCACGATACAGTAAAAGAGCGACCCGACTGTTTCTGACTTCGCCACTTTATTTACCCCTTCTGCTTCCGTCTCAAAAGTCTTCAGAAATATACTATGCGTCGATGCATATATACAGTGTAAATAAAACCGACTTCGGTTCAAACAGAGCTCAACAATAGGCTGGAACGTGCCAAATATTCCTTGATATAACGATTTTCTTTTCTCTCCCCGCTCAGAGATATCCACAAACGCCTTTGTCGCGAGCATCCGAAGAATTGTGGTCATATGAACCCGACCAACGGCACGGAGCTTCTACAATATCTCAGAGAGGTAGAGTTCGAAGGTGAGCTGGAAGAATATCTTTTTTTACGAATGTCGTGCGCATCGAACGTCCTTTGAAACTTCGCCTAATGTATGCGACTATTCTGCGGCACGGAAAATGGAAGTAGTGAATAGTAATAGATATCCAGCGCACTCTTTAAATATTCCGTTTTAACGTTCGAACGTGCCTGCATGTTTTCCCAAATGCAAGTTGACGCGTGACGCTCGGCCACGTCCGTATACAGGGTGTCCCACGTAACTGGAACAGGCTGTACCTTCTAAACGGTTAGGGATAGAAAACAATGTTGTAAGTGAAAGTTAAATGGTTTCGGATGGTGCATAACGTGGAACTAATTTTATGCAGTTTTGTGCATCGGTGCATCAGAAAAATTTAACTGCACTTTTTTTTAAACGGAAACCTATATTTTTGACAACATAGATGGATGTAGTTTCTTGTGCTCTATAAAAAAGTATTAACATACTTGTGTCCTAAACTTGTTCGTTAGGAAGTTATTGAGTGATTATTACTTGCTGAGGTACAGAAATAGTTCGGATTACTTTTGCCATCGATAACTTCTTAACGAACAAGTGTAGGGCATAAGTATCTTAATACTTTATTGTAGAGCACAAGAAACTGCATCGATCTGTGTCGTTAAAAATATATATGCACCATCCGAAACCATTTAACTTTCACTTCTAACATTTTTGTCTATTCCCAACCGTTTAGGAGGTACATCCTATTCGAGTTGCGTTGGACACCCAGTATAGTAAAAGAAAAGCAATCGCATAAAACGAATTACGATGAGGGTTTCTGTAGAGCCTCAGTTCAAGTATGCTGCAAAATAATAAGATTAGAGTATAATTATTAGACCGTGGATATTTATTTAAATTCATGCTTCCATAGGTGTAAATATAGACATGAAAATTATATTGAAGTGTCTTTTATTTTCTAAACAGCCTAACATGTATTTTATTCTTCGCGTTAAAGTGCACATCCTCATACAATCAGTCCCATAAACATTCGTACCTTCTAAATTAAATAATAGCTTTGATATCTCCAAATAAATGTTTCGTTATAAATATATATACAAGTGTAAAGTTTATTTACGTACATATTCGTAATGAAACACTTATTTAGAGACAACAGAGCTATTATATAATTTAGACAAATTTTTCCAACAGACATAAGAGGTACGAATACTTGTGGGACTGATTGTATATATTCCCGTATTTTCAATTGCCATAAATGCATGAACATCCACAGTCTAATAATTATTATTTTAGTGGCTAAGGAGTGCATGTGGTAGTGGACATTTGCTACTGTGAAAATTAGTTGTAGATCAAATCGATACTAGTGAGACTGTCTGTAAACAAAATACACATTTCTAATATAAGTATTAGAAATATTCATATGTATATGCAATTGTACACACACATTTCTAATCATTTTTATTTTAGCAGCTAAGGAGTGCATGTGGTAGTGGACATCTGCTACTGTGCAAATTAGTTGTAGATCAAATCGATACTAGTAAGACTGTCTGTAAACAAAATACACATTTCTAATATAAATATTATAAATATTCATACGTATATGCAATTGTACATGTACATTTCATTGAACTTGTGTTTATCACAGTGAAATATTGAAAAATCCGAACAAGTGGAAAGGAAGTTCGTTGATTTTTCCAAACAACAACCACTTTCGTCTTAGATCCTCCCGAGAACTCATCAGTAATGCTCCCCTAGGAGTCCTGCCACAGATGTGTCTCCCAGCTGAAAACTGTCTCCACGGGAGCTGTTCAAACTTTGATTATCGCTCAGCTATTAGATAGCGAATCCCTGCTGAGTCTGGTCGTCTCTTAAAGGGCATGATTTTCAACTGAAAAGAGCGACGAGGACAGAATCGCTCAGGAAAACCACGAGAAACGTCGTTTTTGTTCCTCGAAAGACCAACGAGCTTCACTTTCGAAATTAAATACAAGCAGCTCTTTTTAGTATCATTCTAATTTATGTTAATATCACTGGATCGTTTTTCGAACACCACTTTTACTAATTTACATAGATCCAAATTCGACGATGATGAACTCCCTGATATACAGGGTGCCCCAGAATTAGTGTAAGAACTAGAAATAGAAGGTTGCTAGGACGATTCTGAACCAGAAGTTCCGTTGCAAAAATGTTGGATGATGCTTCGTTTTTGAATTATTAACGAAAAACCACCGACCAATCACGTAGCCAGCCAATCCTGGGTCGAGTCTATGCTCTCGCGGTAAAGCGCCAGCTACTTGAACGCTGTGATTGGTCCGTGGTTTTTGGTTAATAATTCAAAAACGAGAGACCATTCAACATTTCTGCAAAGGAAATTGTGGTTCAGAATCGTCTCAGCTGCCTCCCATTTTTCTTGCACTGATTCTGGAACCCCTGTATAGTCAGTCCCATAAGTATTCATACCCACTACATCCATCGAAGAAATTTGTAAAATTAAATTATAGCCATCATGTTTCCAAATCGATTTTCTATTATAAATGAATATTATAAATGAATAAACTTCGCACGTGTACATATTTACGATTACAAATTTATTTGGAAACATGAAGCATTCTATTAAATTATACAACTTTCTTCAATAAACATAGAGGGTACGAATAATTACGGGACTGACTGCATGTCTACAAATTCAATTCCTGTGGGACAATATTTAAGGTCTGAGCGGTGATAAATTCAAATTCGACAAAAACGGAGACGGGCCGGCCAGATACAACATCATCCATTTCAAGCAAACCGAGCCCGGCAAGTACAAGTGGGTCCGCGTTGGTAAATACCTCGAGGGTGAACTAAGGCTGAACATGTCCGGTAAGCGCCACGAACGGCCATCTTATCCAACCTTACTCTCCTTCTTCGCGTTTTAAATTGAAAGTTGCCTCTGTTTGCTACCCACTCGAATATTCCTTGCAGAAATCCAATTTAAACTCGGACATCCTCAGCCCCCCGACAGCGTGTGCGCTCTGCCCTGCGAAGTCGGCCAGGCAAAGAAGTACGTGGAGGGTGAGAGATGCTGTTGGCACTGCTTCAACTGCACCCAATATCAGGTTCGTGCCTCCTTTCGGTGCTGGTACCGCATACGGGACAATCCTTGCTCTACATATTTCTCACCTGTCGACGAATCCATCTCGAAAACAGTTTCTTTTTTTTTTGTTACTTAATGTATTCCATCTCGCACGCTTCCTCTCGAGGAGGGAAAGAGGACACATTTGCTTGATTTTAAGTTTCCTCGATTCTCATACTTTCTGCCAAGCCCTGAATTTTCATTCTTTCTCCATTTTCCGCTTTCTGAAAATGTCTGGAAAATTTTCGGTGCAAATGTCTCTATAAGTAGCCGTTGAAAGGAACGATGCAATATGATAAATGGAATTAATTTCACGTGAAATGTGAATGTTTGTCAAACAGATACGACATCCGAAGGATGAGACGCAATGTATTCAATGTCGTCAAGGTACCGTGCCAGACGAGACGCATTCTACTTGTCGTGACATCCCACAGGAATTCCTGCGGCCCGAAAGCGGTTGGGCAATCGGAGCAATGTCCTTTTCTGCCACGGGGATGCTGGTAAATAATTCAACGTACCTGAACGTAACTCGTTTATTTTGCCACGGCTCCCTTTAAATTTTCGAAAACATTTTCTCTTATCTTGGGTGTCTTCGACTCTTGAAAATAACACGATCATAGCGAAAAATTTTACTTAGAAGACGGACGGTGAACAGAAGAAATTCTACGCTTTGAATACGACAGAATAGAATTTAGTAAAAGAATAGTAGCCACCCTCTTGCGAGTAATGCGTTCACACACAGAAACTGCTGGAATAACTCATTTATTTTGCCACGTAGCCGCTCCCTTTAAATTTTCGAAAACATTTTCTCTTGTCTTGGGTGCTATGACTCTTAAAAATACGACTTATTTTTGTCTCGAGAGATTATTTAGAAAGAACACTTCATAGCAGTCATTTTTCATCGTTAGCAGAAGCGAGGGGTGGATTTCCATTCTTTATTCCAGGCGTCTTGTACACTCAGCCTTATAAGGGAGGTCAGTTTTTAAAAATTGATCATAAAATGTTGCAAGGCTGCCTTTATCCACTGATTCAGTTATAACAACAACACAACATGCTAACAAGAATAACCAAGTACTTCTTTAGAGTTTATTACTATAAATCATATTAGTCTCCCTATCAAGGTGACGTATTAATTCTAAACTTGTACTACACACGTTGATTAAATTCATAGCGTCTATAAATTACACTGGAGGGTAGTTAATAATTCCGTCTTCTCAGAAGAGAAGTAAACACAGTTAAAAGAACCTGCTGGCGCTGCTGCAGAGTAATTATCTCAGTGTTTATTCACGTAGAATTTAATTTCGCCAAGAACTGAATTTCAAAAAACAGGATAAGTATTCGTACCCTGTACTTCAAAGAAATTTGTCTAATTTAAACGATAGGATTCATGTTTCCAAATAAATTGTCCAATTCCAAACAAATTAAAATAAATATATTAGATTGTCCCGAAAGTTTCTTTCGTTTTATTAATAATTAATATATACACAATATTTTATGTTTTAATGTTACATTACTGAATTGTGTACGATTCATTTCGCTTCATTACTGTTACAGCATCAATGTCTAAGAAATTAGATTGTCTATTTATATAATCACTGCCACAGAAAATAATTGAATGCAACTCACGAAAGAAACTTTTGGGACAACCTAATATATATGTACAACTACAAATTGATTTGGAAACATTCATTTAAATTAGAATGAAGCGTCGATTGAAATCAGAAATGAATTATTTATTTAAATTAGAAAAATTACTTCAGTAAATATTGAGGGTACGAATACTTATGGAAATCATAATCCTATTCATTCCACAAATACTACTTACAAACGTTCCTAAAAGCATTCCATCGAATTGTTATACCAAGTTACCCAATTCCAAACAATTATCAAAACAACCAATACTCATAATTCTTCCCGATGCTTCCTGCTGGAAATTTTGGGATAATTGACACGAGAAATATTTCGCGATTTGTCCAGATAACGTCCTTCGTGTGCGGAGTGTTCCTGAAGCACAACGACACACCGGTGGTCCGTGCATCGGGTCGCGAGCTGTCCTACGTTCTGCTATCGGGGATCCTGCTCTGTTATCTAGTTACGTTCGCTCTGGTGATGAAGCCCACGGACATCGTTTGCGGTATCCAAAGGTAAGAGGTTAAAGGTATGCAACACAGGCCCACCCCTCGGCCCATTCTTCTTCGCGGAGAAAGTTCTGTGGCCCCGAGGTGATCCAATTTTCGGCGAAACGAATCGGCCCCCGTCGTTGGGGATATTAACTGGGTAACGCAATACATGATCGATCGAGGCAAAGCTGATGAAGCTGGGGAGGCGAAATTCCATCAGAAAGTGAATTACACGAGATTCGATTACCGGGAATCAGAAGAAGAATATAAAGCGGAGCGGCGAATCTATTAGTAAAGTTGCACCTGCCTCCGCTATCTTAAACGTCTGGGCATCGAGCTGTGTTTAATTAACCTATTTAATTCTGAAAGAAACGGGAGAATATATACACACAATGCCTGCGTTTTTAAAGAATTCAAAATTCGTTTTACCAGATTTTTTTGTCTGCTTGGTCTTGATATTATTATTTCGAGAAATACAGTCAGTCCATGAATATTTCCTCTACGTCTATTGAAGAAATTTGTCTAAATTAAATAATAGGTTTGACGTTTCCAAATAAATGATTCATTATATATAATGTACATAAATACGTGTCCAGAATGTATATATGTAAATATATATAATTATTACAAACATATGTAAATATATATACAGAAATGATTTGTTTTCAAATAAATGTTTCATTATAAATATGTATATGGATAAACTTCAAACATTACATTAGTGCATATACAGGGTGTCCCAGAATTAGTGTACTCAGGCGCTGTGATTAGTCGGTGGTTTTTCGTTAATAATTCAAAAACGAAGCATCACTCGACATTTTTGCAAAGGAAATTGTTGTTCAAAATCGTCTTAGCTACCCTCCATTTCCTGTTCTTATACTAATTCTGGGACACCCTGTATAATGTACAATTTATTCGGAAACATCAAACCTATCGTTTAATTTAAACAAATACCTTTAATAAAGGTACGAATATAATAAGAGGGTATGAATATTTACGGGACTGACTGTATATGCATGTCTATGTGAAGATGCTGTCTAGTCTACGCAGGAGAAGATTTAAAAGATGTTGAGATACAACATTTACTTAAACAAATTCATCAACCTATACAAAGCCACTTATTGTAATAAAATTTTTAATTGGAGGTTTTATTCTCGATACTTTTCTCTGAGCGTCCCACACCTAGTAGACGATAATCGGAAGCTACTGAAAAACTCTGATTTGAGATTTTATACGACAATAAATCCTGTATTCCGAATAACTTTTACAGGAACATTATTTGGATAGCTCCTTCCCCTCGCGAGATATCTAACCGTTCCACTTGAACACCCTGTATAACCCGAGATAGAAGCATAACTTCCCATTAACTTCCCATTAACTTCTCTTATGAGATCGACAAATGTTATCGTCATGTGTTCACACATTTACTTATCGATTATGCAGCGGTAGGACGTGTACAAGAGGCACTTCTGTGTTCGACAGATTCGCCGCGGGTTTCTGCTTCACCGTTGTCTACGCAGCCCTATTAACGAAGACAAATCGAATATCAAGGATCTTCAACGCGAGCAAACACAGCGCAAAGAGGCCGTCATTCATATCCCCGCGGTCCCAGCTGATCATTTGCTCGGGTCTAGTGTCTGTGCAAATCTTAATTAATGGAGTTTGGATGATAATTGATCCGGCAAAGGCGATGCATCACTACCCGACCAGGGAAGACAATTTACTTGTTTGCAACAGTTACGTCGACGCCAGTTACATGATAGCGTTCGCCTATCCTATCATGCTGATCGTTGTTTGCACCGTTTACGCGGTCCTCACGAGGAAGATCCCCGAAGCCTTCAACGAAAGCAAACACATCGGTGAGAGCGCCTTGGTGGGAAGCAATTTTTTTCCAATTTCAGCGTTTCCAATATTCTCTCCCTACTCGGTCCTTTCGATGTCCTTTGTAGTACCTTTATGTTTGTACATTATAGAATACATCTTGGAAAGATTTTTCACTCATATTTCACATTTTTCATTCGTAATTCCCTCCTCAGTTCTTTCTACATCCATTACGATATTCTTTAGTTTGTTTATGTATGAAGTGCTTGAGGCTGATAAGTAAGGCTCGTTAAGTATAGCCAGTATAGCTCGGGTACCTCGGGATCGCTAAACTCATACTTAGCTATACAATTAAATATAGCTACAGCCCCTAAGGGCTACTGTTCCTTTACAGTAGCTTTGTATTATGTTGTCCCAAAAGTTTCTTTTGTAATTTGCACTCAATTATTATTTGTGGTAGTGTTTATATAAATAAATAATCTAATTTCTTAGATGTTGATGTCGTAACAGTAATGGAGCAAAATGAATCGTATACAATTGAATAATTTAACATTAGACATAAAATATTGTGTATGTATTAATTATTAATAAAACGAAAGAAACTTTTGGGACAACCTAATATTTGTACATACTTTACAGAATGTACACTGTACCACCAATGGTTGAAACATTGAATTTCATTACAATTTTAGTGACTGTTTCCAAATTTTGTTATACAATTTTTGTATGCTATACATGAATTACATACAATTGTTTGTTTTTATTTTCATCAAGTGCATAGGGCTCTCTTTCTCCTATATTGCACTACTATGTGTACATCGAGCTATCGCACTTATCTGATTCTTTCTCATATTTATCCGTTACTTTATTTTACGCCATAGGCTTTTCTACACCTTATATTTGTTAATCGGCCCTAACCCAATCATGAAAAACCGGGGAGGTTTCTCAGCGTAGTAGTCGGCTACGCTACGCACTGCTCTACTGTCCGTCCGCTTACACACTATTGTTTTATGCATAATTTAGTTCAAAGTAAAATATTTTTGCATTTAATTGGAAGAAGTGCCGTTAAAACTAGTCTTTGTTTCATCACGGTAGAAATATTTAGAAATAAATGTCGGTAGGTTTAAGGTCTATTTACACATATCCGTAACGTGTCAGTTCCGTATCCATTCAGTTCGTAACGTTCCATCAGTGTCAGTGATTTTAAATATTTTTCTGTTGTTTTTTAATGGGCCTGTTCACACACGTCCGACACCGCTCCGTGACATTATCGATACGGAACTGACACGTTACGGATATGTGTAAATAGACCTTTACTGTTAAGAGCCTCTTACAACCATAGATAAATTGCACGCTTCCACCAAAATTTCCCCGCCTCTGTAGATTTCCATCTCAAGGCAAACCTTGTTACCAAGACAATAAGTAGAAACATTTGACTTGCAAATGCCCAAAATCCTCTCCTCTGTCACCACAGTCAACTTGTGATCAGATCAGAGAGTTGCAAACTCAAAGTTGCATCATAACTAGTTCCATGTTTTCCATTTAGGTTTCACTATGTACACCACGTGCGTGATATGGTTAGCCTTCGTGCCATTATATTTTGGTACCGGGAACAACGTCGCCCTAAGAATCACCTCGATGTCGGTGACCATAAGTCTCTCCGCGTCCGTGACCATAGCTTGCCTCTTCAGCCCCAAGGTAATTCGCGACAATCGTTACGGCGATCGTTGAAACAAAGCTTGCTCGGAGAAAACATTTTTTAAACTCCCTTTCGTTTTTCGTCTCGACAGCTGTACATCATTCTGATTCGACCCGAGAGGAACGTTCGTCAGAGCATGATGCCAGCTAGATACAACACAACGAAAAGCTCTGCGGTGACGCCGACAAACGCCTCGAGCATGATCGCACCTGTAACGCTCACTGCGGCCACATGCGATCAAAATAAAACTGTCAAGAAACACATCATCAACACCATCGACTGCTCCACGCAAAGCGAATGTGAGTGACTGTCGGTTAGATCAATTGGTTAGATCAATGATTTTTCGAAATGGGAGGATTTTGTTTTTTGAGATTATCGCGGTGGACACTTGAACGTCATCTTTCACGTTTAACCCTTTCAATACTACTGCCACCTACAGGCGGCGTCCATGAAATGCTCTTTGGGTACCTCCAAGGTCCTACTGGCGCCTATTGGCGCAACCACTCCTGTGGGAAACTTCTTCGTACCATGAAGCATTTATTTAACCCTTAAAAGTGATTTTGTGAACGTACAATTTCAAATTCACTTGCATCAGAATACAACTAATTATTAATTGAAATAATAATACATTGAGTCATGAACGTTCGTAGATGTTTCTCTTCGAAGTAGAGTTTTTGGTTTCACAGAAATTTATTATAAAAATGGACTGGACATGATTCTATAGAAAAATGCCTCGAGCGCAAAGGGTTAAATTAGACAAATTTTTTTAATAAATATAGAAGGTACGAATACTTATGAAACTGATCGTATAGCATTGGTATTAGAGGAGCAACTAATTTGTGAATTAAAATAATTCTTTCTAAAAATTAAGATAACAATATCGTTAGTAATAGAGTGACTTTAGAAAGAAGTTTGAATTGAAGTACCTGGATCAAACTGACTGGCTCGACAAGTTTCACGTTAATAGTCTAAACAGTTTTCAGTTCAATTTTGTTTAGTTTGCTCAGTTAGACAGGTTGCTAATTACGCTAATTGAATATTTCCGTTTTCAGATTACGAGTTGGAAGTGAAGGATCAGAAAAATGGCAAACCACCCGCCACGGTTGTTTCGCGTTCGACTCAGACCTGCACTAACAACGACAAGGATTCGAGTGCTGTGGTGGCTGGCAAAGACTCGAAGGAGAACAATACGACAACGACGAAGGAAAACACCACAACGAAACAAATAAATAACAACGCTAGGATAGGGAACGGACCAGTCAATCAAACGGACGTCACCTTGTAGCAGAAAGCTTCCATAGATTCCGCCATGTTGTCCGCGAATTTGAAACCAATCTCGAAGAAACCCGTAGTGGTTTGAAGGGAACCTAAGAGAATTACCTTTGGATATTTTGTAAATACGACTGAACGCGAATCGCGAGGCGTCGATTAAAAAGAAACTGTGCGCTAATTGTCCTCAAAGCTGCGGACGATGTCGAACCTCAACACGTGTGACGATAGTTGTGTAAAATCGCACGATCTTGCGGCGCCTGTTTCACACGTTTGGAGGAATTTGTTTCGTGTATGCGCGCTGGGACGATAATAAATTCTAATTACGAAACCGAGGCTATAAATTTAATTATCGGAAATTCTATGCAAAGAATGTTTATCGGAGGAATTTTAATAAGTGATAAACCGGGAGTACACCTAAGCCTCGAGTTACACGGAATTTTTCACACGATTTGCAAACTGTGCATTTCGAAAATTCATACTGCAAATTTATCGTGCAATTTATGCTGCTTTTAGTTCCGTTTATTTGTTAACATTGACACTGAACCTACAAAAATTAACTTCCCCTTATTTGTACACCTAGAAATATTCACGTTAAGGCAAAATTAACCCTTTGCGCTCGGGTGGCGCCTCTGGGGCGACATATGTAATTTAAAAGTGATTTTGTGAACGTACAATTTCAAATTCATTTACATCAGAATACAACTAATTATTAATTGAAATAATAATACATTGAGTCATGAACGTTCGTAGATGTTTCTCTTCGAAGTAGAGTTTTTGGTTTCACAGAAATTTATTATAAAAATGGACTGGATTTGATTCTATAGAAAAATGCCTCGAGCTCAAAGGGTTAATATTGTAATAATATAATATTGTAATTATATCATAAATAGACTGATATTTTGTCTCGTATTTGTATCTTATTTTACTTTGCGTTGAAATAACCTATATTTAGACGGTTTTTCATATAAAAAAAACTATGATCTTCCATGTAAATCGGGGGGTTGGTGTGCTGTATGCGAAATACACGAGACCGGAATGGCGCTAATAAAACAATTGCACTGTACGCCAAGCTGACACGCATAATCATCGATCGTAATTAATCGTTAAGTCGCGTTTTAAAAATTGCTCTGGTTTCCTCTGTGATCATAGCATAATGCATGAACTGCGTGAATCTCTTTTGTACATACACCGAATCATTCTCATTGTGCACATTAACGCAAAAATGTCATTCATAGTTAACCGAATTGATTGTAAATATCGACGACAGTCGAACTCGTAGTTCTTGTAAAAAAGAAAAAAACGAAATGAAAACTTGGAACTATCGTAGCCGGATCGTTGCCAAATATAAATAATTGCGATCTTCTACCGATGAATGTAATTTTTGTAAAAAAAAAAAAAACAGAGAAAAGAAAAAGAAAGCAGAAGGAACATACAGCAAAAAAAAAAAATCATCCGTCGGATCTTCTGTACAGAAAACTTCTGTCTGTAAATATTACTCGAAGCGCGAGACGTAATTAAGTAAGACTACTCAATGAATTGAAGTAATTTCAAAACGAAAGTTAAACATTTGAAACGACGACTCGAGGCTCCTCGAGTCGCGACTATACGAAACGTAGACACTTAGGGAATCTTTTTTCTTCTTTTTCGAATCCTCTCTGCAGACTATAGGAATTGCTACACGTAGAATTAAAAGTCGCGACGATCGCATGCTGGAATCTTTTCTCCTAAGATCTAGTCGCTCTAATTTTAACTGTAACGTTTAACGCTTGGTATTTCCGTGAGAAAGGCGAAACGAACGAGGACGAGAAATTATTCTGTAGGTTTCGATGGCGATTGTTGAGAATTATTGCAAACCTTTGTCACGGTGCCACGACCAGTGGTACGAATCTGCGATAAACATATCCCACTCTAACCACGTGCGTAAGAGTTGTTTTTCCGATAGTGATAGTTGCGCAGAAATAAGTCATACGATTATTACTTGGAATAATTACGTTTATACACGTGTATGGATGGACTTGACAAAACTTTTTGGATTTTTATAGGACCGAGGAAGAGGCTTTTCGCCAGACTTTGGGTACTAATGAGCCCGCGTATCCATCGTTTGGCCTGATAGACGTCCTGTGTTTCCTCAAACTTTCGTATTAGAACCGACGCGAAGTCCTGTTTCAACCTTGGAAAATAATTCAACGCTAACGCGAGCGATAGTCGGCCGTGTATAACAAAAGCAAGCATGTTTGACTGATAGGTGACGTTAGCTGAGGTTTTAGGCTGTAAGCTGTGTCTTCGACTTGCTTCAGAATTGCAGGTAGCTTCTTCAGGAATCGAATGACACTCTGACTCTGGTACTCTGTCTTTGGTTACCTTCGATTGTACAATTGGTGCAAAGAGAATGGACGTCAGGTGTTTTGTAGTAATATGTGGATCTTGTTAACCCTTTGCACACGAGGCCTTTATTTTGGTATCTACCAGCAACTCGAGATGTTTCTTAACACTTTATTTACCGGGAGCCTATTTATAGGCTTTTTAAATGCAGTATTTAGTTATTCGAATTGATTTACTGTGTCGATGCTTGTCTATTTACAATGTTCAGTGTTTAGTAACAGACTTGGCTTTCAATGTACCTAGTAACAGTATGGAGGAATTATTGTCAGCCTAGAATGGGATATGCTACTGTAGAAAATTCTTTTGTGAATTAAAGTCTGCTTTTAAATAGTCCGGTAGATAAAGTGTTAACATTCTGTTGCTACGATTTCTAAGCTATCGAGATTTTAGAACAAGGTCAACTGTACCTCACCGACAATCATTTTATTGATACGTCGAGCTCCGAAGAAATTGAACCTATAAACTTTGGGTATAGTAGATTTGCTCCATGAAACCTAATGCTGACTGAGAGTCACCTCTCGAGTGCAGAGGGTTAATTTTTCGAGTGAATCTTTTCCAAACAATTACAACAACTTGCCACCTTCAAATGGCCCAAGCTACACGATGCAAATATCAGTGCGCCGTTTTATCCTCGAAGAAGCTAGCTAATAAATAGACTGCGGATCTTTATGCATTTATAAGAAATTTGAATGTACAAGAACCTACAAAATGCAAACAATATGCAAGAACATGAAAAAGATTGAAAGTAAAGTTCACGTTATAATATTTGCAGAATAAAATAAATTCCTATTTAGATTCAATTTTTGTAGACACGTTCGCGAATATTTTATTTTGCATAAAGATCCGCAGTCTACTAATAAAACATCAGAGAATCCATACATAGGACACGGTTTACGTTCGGAAGCCTCAGTTAGTACCAGCCATGAAGAACCAGGCCCTGTAAGCTTAAAGTATCTTACATTTGACTGTTTTCTCGAATGGTGCGTTTGAATCGTGGCGTGTACATACATATTAAACGTGCAACTGTACACAACATATAGGTGCACGTGTATCGCGGGACTTGAAACGAAAATGTTAGTTCATACGGAATCAATTTAGTCGTAACGTTCGATAAGAATAAAGAAAAAAAAAAAGTGTACGGAGGTGCAAACAGCGTAGCGATAAACTATCGAAAAATGCAATGCAATGACAATGTCAAGAACACTAATTACGATCAAACTGTTATGGTCTACAAGCATATTTTAAATACGTACGAATGGTAAGGTAGAAACACGAGTTTAAGTGGTATTACGATGTATCCGTTACAGTGAACAAAAAAAAGAGAAAAAAAGGAAAAATAAAAGCAATTATTGAATTATTCGTGGTGTTGTCATTTCAATAAATGAAATAAATGATATAGCACAGAAGATACCCTAAGCTCATGCTATATTTACGATGAATTATACGCGTATAACAGGGTGATCCGTTCGCTAGTAGAAACAATTGACAACCACAACAATAGCCGACCGTCATTGTAGACGATGACGATGGCTCCCGCAACGAAACGGACTGTATGGGTGTCACCGTCATAAAGTTTACAATGAGGGTCGTCTATCGTTGTGGTTGTCCATTGTGTTTATTACCGAGCGGATTACCCTGTAGCAGCCGATTAGCTAATATTACTTACTACGTAACTACGAATTGCATTAATGGTAATACAATTAATAATTACACAATTAATAATATCAGGGCCCAGGTCTCGCCACGTGGAAGTTGCTGCTTATGAAGACCCGCCCTACCACATCCCAACCACCCTGCCTTTTTGATGTGATATTACGGGCATCACGATCATGTTTCGATCAGTGTTAGAAGAACAAGAAAAAACAAATATTAGGCGAATATAAGGATGTACTTTAGAGCGTACTTATGAGCAGTGTTGATTTTAGTTCGATGAAACGAACAGAAGAGAAAACACTGAGAAAAGGATGCTTTTCGAAACCTAGTAACCAGGAACGAATATCAGAGAAAACAACCAAACGATGATTTCCGAAAAAAAAAGAACTCAGAAACAAGTACAAGAGAAAACAACCTAACGATGATATCTGAAACGTAAACTAAGAACCATTAAACATATGTGATAGTATGAAGATTGATTTTCCAGAAGGAGGAAGTTGAAGTATTCTTAAATACTCTGTAACAGAAACTTCTTCACAGGATTAGTAAATAGCTGAAAGAAGAACGTATTAGCGGACATAGAAATAAAATGGTGCATTATCCAGATTCTTTTCTTGCAAATCGTTTCAAAGTGAAACGAGTAACCATATTTGACTTCAATTCTTTCATACATGAATTGTGACGAATACACGAAATGACAAGATACAAAATTCAAATATTATGAAAGTGAATTTAAATGTCAAATTAATAACTTTTTAAATGCAAAAAGAAAAGAACATGTAACGACACATTTTAACCGCACAAAATAGAAACAAACGAATGGTAATTTCCATATAAGAAAGATGGAATTAAACGTGATAGATGATTTACATTCCCCACCAGATAGGAGAGAATATTACAGGCAATACTTCTACAAAATAGCACGAAATGACAATTTTAGAAATAGAAATAGACGATGGGGTTGCGTAATAATTCTCTACACGAGTCAATCAATAATATCATTATTGAAATATCAATGAAAACTACGCAAGACTAAGGGTTTCGCGAAAGAAAATGAAATATACAAAATAAACAATGTATCGACAGCAATGACGCAATACGCTTCAATAATCGCAACATTAATTACTGAAATTCACAAAAATCTTTTCGCACTTTTTTACCGATACCGCTAGCTGTCGTTCTGTGATTTCAAATAGGTACCAGTAAATACCAATAACGGTTTTTACACTCCAGGGTATTTACTTTTGTTTCGGGGGGAGTTTCAGGAGGAGCGCGTAGCGTGGCATTTATTGAAAAAGAAAAACCCGTGCGCATCATTTTTATGCGACTTTAACCGACACTGCTAGTCGTCAAGTTGCGATTTTGTATCGATATTACAGAACGCGAATGACGATTTTTAAAATATTCTTAATAAACAGATAAAAATCAAGTTGGAAATGTTGCGTGAATATTCACGCATTGCGCTTTGCGACTCGTTATACGAACTTTACTAATATTCGGAAGCGAGTGGGGTGAGCTGCATTTATTATTCGCGATACTAA